TGCTGCTTGGCCTGCTGTGTTCATCCAGCCCTGCACCTTGTTGTCTCGGATTCTCCAGCATCTGCAGTTCCTACTATCCATGAAAATGCTGCATTTGGTTTGGGATTTGGAAACTTTGTAGGTGCAAGAGATGACTTCTGGAGACTCTGAGCAGCTTAATGTCATATAAGATGTTAGGTCTGACTGTGACATACTAAAAACACCGTTTACATCCCAGGAAGCGATGTACTATTACATGATCTTTCTGTCTTGCAGCCTTCTGGTGAGATGAAGCCAGAGTAAGATGTTTATCAAATAAAATTAGTGATTTCCTTAGCTCAGTAGGTTCTGTGAGTAGTAATTATAGCAACAAAAGAGACCAGAATATTACAGTTAGGACATAAGGACATGGGCATCAGAGTTTAGAAAGAGCTGAAAGATGAGGAGAGGGGAGTTAGTTGGCCAATGTGGAATGTATTGGAATAGTCTGGATATGATAATAATGTGAAATCAGAATCTCACAGGAAAGACACTGAGTACTGACATTACAGAGGTTGGAAGTAGGTTGATAAATGGTCAGAATTCACTTCGATCCTTCTACATGCTCAAGTTATGTGTATGAATCTGGAGTTAAATTTCCATCTGGTACTGAACTCCAATTCTGGATTAATGCTGCATTCGCTGTAACTTTCAGGGTTAGGACAAAGTTAAACTGCTTCACATGAATCACTTTCCCCTGCTCCATCTCAGCCAACACCTCATCCTCCATCACACTGAACATTTGCAGAATTTTTTTTTTGTCGCTGCCCAGCCCTGCAGCTCTCTGCTGCTGGACTGGAAACAGACCTCATCTCATCCACATGTATCTAATCAACCCATTTGTATTTTTTTTTTGTTTTAAACCATTCAGATCAAATTGATTGAGAATCAGTTAATGCAGCTGACACAGTTCGAGTTAGACAGAAGAGAGAATGACACGGAGAATCTACAGGTAGGGTGGAAATTACTTGGATATACACAGCCCTGTGACTGCAACCAGAGAGAGGGCAATGCAGGGATGTATGAATCTTGTATGTTAGCAGCTCATGGGCTGGTCTCATGCTGTTATTGACATGTCTAAGTCTGTGGGCACTTCTTCATGACCAATTTTAACCTTTTTTTCCCAGTTGATGTGGTGG